ACTGCAGTTGACACTTGACAGAGGCAGGTTTGGACTTTTTTCCCCCCACCATTACTCCAGGGAGATAAGCCAACAGAGAATCAGAGACAGAGGCACACATTCCTCAGAGAGTTGGTCAGAGAGCTAAGCTCTTTTTAATAGGATGCCATTTTATCTACTTTTGATGCCCAGGTTAATACAGAACTGGAAACATGACAAAACCCACACAAAAGGTGGCAGCAGAAGGAAGGGAATTGGATTGCAATTTACAGCTGCAAGGAACCAGCAAATGAGTTCAGCTTAAAGATCAATCCACACCATCCAATTTTAAGCAGCCAGCTCACTGTGCAGCTCAAAACCCAAAAGCCAAAACAACAGAGTCTGTCTCCTTAATCTAACACAGACCTAAGCAGAAAGTTACCATCTGAGCACAGAAGTGACTTCACAAGATAAAGGTTTTGTTCCCTGTCACATTCCTGATACAGACACACTGAGATATACAAGGGCTATATGCAAATCCAGCAACCAATCCACACACTGGTGTTAAGAGCTGGTTTAAAAACCTGTGTTTGTTTCCAGTAGTGCTTTTACAGCCGCCATGATTAAACAGTCAAGAAAAAAGGAGGATGAAACAGAAGAACTAAAAACCTTATGACAATTTCTGGATACAAAATTATTCTTGGAAGTTACCAGAAAAATTACACATAAGCCTACTCCTCTTGAAAGCACTTTATATCAGTGAATGCAAATTTGATTAATGTTTTAATTAAAGCTTGTACAAAATATGCACTTGGAATAGTCTAAAAGAATCAGCAATCCTATCCAGACATAGAAGATTTCATCCAATACAGTTGATTTGGCACTTATGGAGGTTGAACAATCTGTAATTAAGTGAAATGAGACTTGTATGGGAATACCAAGAACATTAAGACTATGTGACAGCATGGGAATTATTTGCCAGTGAACGCTTTTCTTTTACTGCTTTTTTTTATCATTACCATGTAAAATTTAATTAAAACAAAGTCAGAGACTTAGCTTGTGTTACATCCACTCATTACCTGTACCGCTCACCTTTGGACCGTTCATCAGCACGCAACTAAATTTAGTGTTTAGTATACAACCTTTTTTTTCTTTTTTCAATCACTTCTCTATTTAATTTCCTCCACGGCTCCAATCCCCAGCTGAAGCTTTAAAAACAATCATGACAGCAAGTTATTCAGTAGCATTTTGAAGCAGGCAATAGCTGAGAAAAAGAAAGGAAACTAATGCTGATCTAGATCCAGTGCAGCAAGAAGGAATGCTCTTCTCTGAGTATTTCACAGAAACAGTGACACAGCTTCAGCTTTGAAAAACATCTTCCAAATTACCATGTTTTTCTACACATTCCCTTCCAATAATACCTATTCAAGATTTTGAAAATGTGTTCTCTCTCCAGTATGAATAACCTGTCGCTAAGTTACTTTGCTGGTATTCTTGGGAACCCTCCCACTGCTTGCCTGGTTATCCCATTATTGGTTTTTTCACATTTAAACTGTATCGCACTTGCATAACATAAAATACACCACTCACTGCATATTTTTCACTTCCCATTATACCTCATTCAAGTGTATGACTCCTAAGAACAGCTAGAAATTTCTGCATCTCAGTATTCCTAAGAAAAAGGTGAATTTAAGCGGCAGAAGGAGCTGGGAGCAAATACTCAGACTCCAACTTTCCAGATGCTGCTCCCAGCAGAGACAGAGCTTGGATTCTGTTCAGAAGCTCAGAACACATGAGTATCTGCCTGTTCATAACAGCATGATGAGAGACAGATAACTGGCAGTTTCCACTTACTACAGAATATGAAGTATACAAAGAGGGAGGAATAAAGAGATCCAACCTTGCTGACAGCAGAATAACAAATCACATCATGACAGTCCTATCAATGATAGAGCTATTTTAACAAAACCCAAAAATACAGATTTTTGTGAAGTCCTTGATTATGCAAAATTAAGTCAAACATATAGCCATCTCTGTGTCATTACAGACCTTTCTATGTAAAACCCTAAGCTGAAACAGTAAGGTGGCTAAAAGTAGCAGAATGCTATTTTATGTAAATTTAAAACATTTTAAAGATCATGTTTTCACTCCCATGCTAATAATAATTTAGTATCATGTACCATCATCTACAAGAGAAAGGAAAAAAACATCACAATGAAATGAAGCAGTTCTTGCTCCTCTTATCTCCTACTAGGCAGTGAATATAAAGTAAGAAACTCAGAAAAAGAAGGGAAAAAAAAAATAAAGCCTTTTTTTTTTTTAGTTCCTGGAATTTCTGTCAAGAATTGCTACCTTGCAAATGATATATGATCTCCAAAGGCTAATTATTGTAGCACTCAAGCTTTTGATCCCTTCCTTTTATAAAGAAAAGCAGCAAGAAATTTAAAATCTTACTTGTAGATGAAATTCAAGTTCACAATATATGCAATGCTAAAGCCAGGTAAAATATTCTTCTCAGTTAATACTCTAATACTGAGAAGACAGGAGGGGGAAAAGGAAAAAAAGCATATTAAAAACAAGAGATAAATCTTGTCACAAGAAAAGTTTCTAGGAACAGGTAAGCACAAAATTGCTTCAAGTACAGTTCACTTCTTGAATAAGAGGCAGAGTCATCAGTGGTGTCATCTGAAGCACAAATTCTGAACATTTTATTTTCTGCACTGTTAAGTTTAAAAATACAGAAGATAGATATTCTCCATTTGCTCTGTGGCTTACAAAAGCAGAGAACTTAAAGTGCTTCAGTAACAAAGATTTCAAGTGAAAAGTGACCTAGCCTGATATGTAACATAGAACTAAGAAACATACTTTTCTTCAGCATTTCTGCTTTATACTCAGCAGATTCAAGATAATTAAAACATATCTATTCCAAAATACATCTATACTCCAACTTCCTATGCCAAATTTCTGTAACTCACCAGTCTTAAAGAAAAATGCAAGAACCCTCTTCCTACTACCTGAAATACTCTTTCCTTTAGTTCCTCTGCTACATATGTCCACCACTCCTCAGTTAAGGAAATACTTTTATTTTCTTGCACAATGGGCATAGGAACAGGGAACAAACCACAGCATTGTTGATCACTATGCAAGGATACAAGTAGTTCAGTGAGATGCTCCTCATTCTAAAGCTTTCCCAAAGTTGTGCCTTAGATCTTCTGTGTCAGAAACTATCTTTGTATTTACTACCTCCCACTCATTTAGTCAAGACTTTCTAATAAAATTTTGCTTTTCAAATACTTTTCAATCCTCTAAACACTTTTGGCATCCAAAGCATCCCAAAATATTCTCCACTTTCTCTTCATGTCCTTTTGGTGGGTTTTTTTTTCACTTTTTGTTTTGCCTGTTTTCAACTCCTTTTCTTTGAGGCTCCCCATACCAATATTATTATTAACAGTTAAGCAAATACTTCCTATTCAGCCACTGCAGAGCACTTACTATACTTATTTACCCTTTCCACTCTCATCATCAGAAAAAAAACTACAATGAAGTCAAATTTCATCACACAGAGTTCATCCTGTACAGAAGAAGAACAAATATGATGAAAAGTACTTCATTATCCCCACTCCAGTTTTTCATTTCATAAATGGAAGGGGACTGATAAAAGTATTCATTACAAGTATTTGACAAGTTAGAGCAATCCAAGTACTAGACCTTCTTTTTCCTGATAATTTCTAAAATTTGCTTGCTTTCATTGGACCTCTACTAATTGCTGTTTACTATCACTGTTGTAACACCAAGATTTTTCTCTTGACACACAAATTAATTCAGAACTAAATATGCAGATATTACTCATGTTGAAGGAGCTCAACAGGGAAAGATAGTGTGAACAGAAATTACTACTAAGTGTAACAGTTTTTACCTAAAGAGGAAATATGATCCCACCTTCATCTCCACAAAGATCAGCTTCAACTAAATTACTGCTATTCTAAATGAGATTTTGCTATTAAAATATAATAATTTATCACAAGTGGGAAAAGAACAAAAATAAAACCAGTATTAAGAAATATAATGAAAATTAATAAGACTGTAGAAGTTAAGAAGCAATATGCCATTGCACAAATCTCCAATATCATATATACTGAACAGCAGTTTTACCACCACAACACAGTAAAATTATAGATGCTAAACATCTAAATGCATTTAAAAAGTAACCAGAAAACATACTGAGGAATAATTCCTTGCTGGAAATTGAGTATAAAAAGTTGGCATTGTTATTTGGCACAGGAGCTGCAAATCAACAGCAACTGTAAGAGTACCCTGATCAAGCAGAGTTACACCTTTCTGAGTAGTACTGGGGCACATCCATATAAAAACTATATTGAATTCCAATGTGTAAGAATTTTAAAAGTACTGAAATATTCCAGCTACTTAATTCTCCTTCAAAAAGGGTTTTATTTGTACCATACTCCATACAATTTTACTTGGAAGTTGGAGACAGCCTCAACCTATTATTTTGCTATCTTTCAAGTCTATACAGTTGGTTTTTTTACCTGCACAAAATATTTAGCTGTTTGAGGGCAAAAATTGTGGACAATTAGTTCCAAACAGAAGTAAATAACATAACTCTTCATATGATGAGCTCTTTCCAATTTAGTAAATAAGATGAAGACTGACTACTGCTAACATCTATCTGAAGCTTCCTATAATAAAAGTCACTAAGTTGCATAAAATTAAATAAAACTGTATTAGTTAACTTTTAAATACTAATCAGGACATCATACAGTATTTATTAATAAATGGTTGATTCAGCCACTCAATTAACTATGCACTTCACTAATTTGTCATAAACAGGAAAATGTTTATTTATTAGGATCGCCCTATTGACTAATCCTGCTCCAGTTAGTGACAAATGACAACTTGCTGCTTTTACTCAAAACCTTCTGAACATGAACCCACTAATTACAGCAGCCAATCATCCAGGCTATGCTGTTCTTCACCCACTCCACTTAAAACATAATAGTTACTTCTCACTCTTAATTATTTACCTTAGAATCATTTTCCTTGTGATATTTGGCACAGGATCGAAGCTGAGTTATCCAGTACTGCTTCTCCTTTGCATCAGCAGCTAGAACAGAAACAAGAAAATGCAAGCAATCACACATAAATCAATACTCTTTTGCACAAGAGGTGACAGAGCAGGGCAGAGGTAGAAAGATTAATTATTTATTAGGATGCAGTATAAATCCTAATTTATGCTACATAAATACACTACAGTTTTTCAGTGCTACACATCTAAACCTGTACTTAAGAGGCCAGTTGGAAGAAATAAGCTTATGAATCTTCTTCATAGTTATCTCTTCCACATGTTAGCAAAGGCAAAACTACCTACCTCAAGAAGACATTTTTGTTCAGAATTGTTCATCCACTTTTGTTTTACTTGTCTGTCTTTGTGAAGGACACACCACAGCATTTAAATCCATAAAAGTTCTGCACTCAGGTTGTCAATCAGCTACCAGACAAGCTACCAGTTCCCCAAATACTTAAGTGCTTCTCTTTTAATGGAGTTCAACTAAATTTCTCTCTAAACCCATGTCATTCACATGCAACTGAAAGACACAGGAATTTCCCCCAAACATCTTTAAAAACCAGCTTTAAAAATTATTGAAGAGTTTGACTGCTCTCAGATGGCTCCTGTGTAATACAGTAAGTCTGTTTAGGAGAGAGGCTTTTCTTTTTTTCTCTAAGTACTACTACAGGAATCCTCATTAAGAATGGCAACACAGAGTTGATAATTTCAGTAAATATTTTCTCTTACTTCCTCTGCTATTGAGTATCTTAATGATTATTGACTCAGCATAAAAATTGTTTATTGATTTTAATCAAATTCACAGACATCATTAAATTAAAAGCAGCATATTGTAAGCATTTGATAATTTCAAGTGATTGGAAAAGCATAATGACACAACAAGTGCTCATGATTTTTAGCTGTGCAACTTTCAAAGCATTTAAACAGAAATTCTCCCTGGTTGTTTCTGAATTCAGTTCTGTGTATGAAAAGCAACACACTGTACCACAGGGGACCCCTCCATGCTCAGTCCTGCTGGACAACTGATAAACTGTGGTCAGAATAAAACTAAGAACACTTCTGTTACAGTGCATTATGTATCTTGGATTTTTTTAAATAACAGTTTATTTTTTATAAATTAGTTTGATTTGGAAGCATCATGATCAATCAACCATACTGAAAATACCTTAAAATCAGAACACTGCATTTTCTTCCTTTTTTTTTTTTTCTTTTGTAAATATTCCAGAGTAACTCCTATATACCCTGTATTGTTTGTCTTATAGTTGGGAACAAGAGAAGGGAAAATTTTATGTCACAGGACCATTCAATTACTCCAAGACTGCTAAGAACATAGTATCTCAGCAGCCTATCACTGGCATTTTTCCCTTCTCTGACCCATCATCAGATTCATTACTGCACATTATCTGCAGGACGGTGGCAGGGAAGAACATAGAAAACAAATGTTATGCTGTGGACAGCAATGAAAGCACCTTTTTCTTCCTTTGGAAGCAAATAAGATACAGCATTCAATGAAAATGCCACAGTAACAGATTACAGAAGCCATCTTGTAAAGTACCTTCCAGCCCTGAAAGTCTATATATTTTAAAGTCACATGTACTTAACTCCAGATTACTCCTCCACCATGTTTTAAAATATACTGTGTAATAACAGAGCTGTATAGCCACTACTTTCTGACAGCACAGGAAAGTAAAAGAGAAATGAGACATAAGAGAAGAAATGCAGAAGTGGGAGTGGAAGAGAAGAACAATTCACCAGGCATTGTGAGCAGCACTGTACCTCTTAACTTGTACATCTCTCCATTTGCAGAGTAGACCACCAACATGTGTGGCACTTCATCACTGGGCGATATTATAGCTCCAGCTAAAGACAAGGCTCCTCGTGGCTTTGGGCTCTGGTTTTTAGTTTGTTCATTCATAAAATACTGCAGAATCCCCGTCTCAAAGTCCAGCACAAAGTACCTGTTGAAAGAAATTACAAGCATGCACTATTTCCATAGAAGCTTTTAATGCAATTACCCAACAAAGGGCACAGATTGATCTTAAATCAAGATCATAAATACACAAAGGAGGTTAAAGCAATTTTTGTAATTACAATTTTATAAAGTACTGTTATTTGGCTTGGTTTTTCAGGGGTAAGTGATCTATTCCTTTATTTGTAAAACAAGCCATTCACAATAAACCAACAGCCACGACTTAAAGATCATACAAACAAAAAATAAACTAACTGGGGTGTCCAAGTGCACTAAATGAAAGTGAAGGTATTTCAAAGTTGGTGTGTCAGCCTCAGGAGTTGAAAGCATTTATTTTTTTCCACAAATAAACCCATCCTTCACAACAGCACAGATACTAAATTTAATTTCCCTCTGGAAATCTTCTATGCTATCACACAGAACAATTATTTAACACTAACCCTTGACCAATAGAGAATATACAGCAACTTCCTGGCTCAAATGAAGGTCAGTCTGCTGCAACCCTCAACAGACTAGAGCAAAGACGACATAAATGCAGGTTACCCCCACCTTAGCTGCTTCTAAAAAACCATCTCTAACAATCTTGCTAATCCCACTAACATGGACATTTGTAATGCACAGTATTTGTTACTGTTCCTCTAAAATAAGATTACCATAGGTCACGTGTGTAGATTTGTGTAAAACATTCCAGAAACTGTGGTTATTCAGACTTCTGTAGCTTTGTATATCCCAAATTTGCTCAAGTTACCGCATTTTGCCTTGGCTTTTTCACAATATCCCCATATACAGAATATCTCTAACTAACCTTTCCCACCACAGACCATTTCCAGGATTATCTTCACAGCCTGAAATTATTGGTGGTGGTCTGCTCTTCTCTTTATTCATGCTAAATAAGCCTGGACATGATGCCAGCTGTTATCGCCTAAGATTTACAGAGTTTCAGACATATTGCTTGGGACCCCTTCCTTTGCTGCAGTTCTGCTTAACTCTCTACCACCACTGCCTTCACATGCGAGCAAAGATCAAATTCTCTTCCAATTGTTACAGATTAACAATCCTGTCCCAAAGAATTTGAAGCTAGTGCACCACCACACCCTTCACTTGTGCCATAACTCAATCTCTTGCAAGCACTTCTGCATCCTTTTCCTCAAGAAACAAATGGAAAGCCTCCCTTTTGTAATCATGTAGCAGCACATCGCTTCATCTTTCCTCTGCAGGTTATCTTCGACACAAAGAAGGACTAGAGGAATGGAAGCTGAATGACAACCACATTTGCAATAATAGTGTTCGAAATAAGGATGCCCTAAAAGGAAACTGCCAAAATTTCCCATTACCTTACTGACTTGTACTGTACCAGTTCATAAGCCTCCTGTTGTGTTTGACTTCTAAATGATTTTACAATACTACTCTTCCACTTATAAAGCATTTTTTCTCTTCAGGTTGCTTAGTAGGAGAAAACAATGCACTTAACTGCAGGGGAAAACAGCAGATATGTAACACTTTTTTTTTTTTAAAGTCAGACTTGCATATTTCATAGTAAATTTTAATTTTGCTCATTCTCATTTTTCCAGACATTTTGGGAACATCTGTTACATACTCAAGAGAAAAAGCAGAGCACTAGACAGAAGTGACGCCACGCCCCTGAGAAAATTGCACAGTAGTTTGACCCTAGAGCTAATGCTTCTCCCCATCATCTCTGAGCTCAGCAAACAAGTCTAGACTTTATATGCAGAGATGTTCATTCCAAGCCTGTGCCATCCTCATTATAATTTCATTGTCCTTTTATTGTTCAGGTACAAATAATTTATTTCAGCCTTTGTTATTTGGCCATTTTTTAATCGATTACTACCTTGGCAATCACCATTGTGGTTACTAAAGTACAGCTCTACAATTAACAAAAGGAGGAACAACAGCAAGAGGGGAAAAAAAAAGGAAAGGAAAGGAAAAGAGAGGCAAGAAAAAGTCTCTCCTTCTCCTATTAAGACCAAAGGATTTGGAGAAAAAAGTTCCTCTGAGTCTATTAGAACAGAATCTATTAAGTTACATAAACACTACGAGCACTTCAGCTCAGAAACTTCTGCATGCTAGACCAGCAAAGCACTCCCAGAATGACTGTAAGCTCCACAAAAATGGGCTTTGCATTGGCTTAAAGCTCCCCCAGGGAAGGAAACCAGCCATTCGAGCACAGAATATACCTTTACCAGCATAATGACATCAGACAGCAGCAACTTCTGCAAATTCCCAAATGCAGAGACGGCATCCTTCCACATCCTTGTTATCACTGCTACAGCAGTAGTGTTAACCGGATTTCTAGCCAAGCACAACCTATTTTAGGTACAGTCTCAGAAAAACAGAACATCATCACTGGCCTTGTACCTTAGATTTTTTTGGTGATGTTGTCATAGAAGCCTGTAAAAGCAAGCAATTTAGAAATCAAGCAGTAATTTTAAGAAAGAAAAAGGTAACCAGTTTTCACAAGCCTTCACATCACCCTCAAGTATCCTGCCTTCTTTCTTGTCCCAAAAGAATCAGGAACTTTTCACAAGCATTTTGGCCATGACACCGTTCACATCACACAGAATCAAGCATTTCCTTTCCAAAGATTATGGTTTGATGTGCAACTCCCCTCTTAACCTTTCACACAGTGGTATCACAGAAAAAAAGACAAGAATAAACTGCACAGACAACTATAGCCTCACAAAGGAAGCAGGGAGATAACACACTTTGAAAACTGCTAAAAGGATAGAATGAGCCAGGAGAAGGACTAAGGAATTAAATGTCAAATCAAGCAGTGCAAGGCTTCATACAAAGGAGGTGGAGGAGGGAGGAACACAAAGAGATAGAAAAAACAGGAGCAGCTTTCAAAAACATTTTCTCGCATCACAGACCAAATGATGACCCAATTCAGACCAACACAAAAATACAGAAGAAATGAAGACCAGAGTCTTTCATTAACTGAGGATGGAAAAGCATTACACATATAAAGCAGAAGATGGGTATGTGTCCCATTTTAGAAGCACTGTGCAGCTGAATCAAAAGGACAGAGATCTCTTTTAACTTCTAAAAGTCATTTGTTCTGCCTACCAGGGAAATAACAGCACTAACCTCTCTACAGCTGATTCATCTTGTCACCACCTCACCCTTATTTCTCTACTGGCCTTGCTCACATGACATCACATTTCTGTAATTAAATCTCAGATATTAGTGATGAAAACAAATGTACTTTTTAGAGAATAGTCAGGCAGAAGGTAGCAGAGCCCAGTTATGTCATACTTCTCACACAAAAAAATCAGTGCTATAGAGAAATCGTGAAACTGTTATTGAAAGACATTTCCAAAAGACAGCTGATTTTTTCTGTTATTCCAAAACCAGAATGACATTCTTTTTCAATTAATAGTCTTTAAAGAAGTCCATCTAGAGGTAAGGTAGAAAATCACCACTTAAGCATACTTTAAGCAGTTTTAACTGCTAAAGCACAGTTTAAAATACACGTGCAAAATTACAGGCAAGAAAATGCAGGCTACTTCACAAATGAAGACACAATGGATTTCTCACTTCAGATTCAAATCCATTCAGAAACTAAAAACTCTCTGATCCTCTGGCCCAGCTTCCCTTAAGCTGCTGAGATCCATCAGGTACTCCCCTTATGCCATTCCAACCAAATGCAGAGCCATTACCAACTGACATGAATTACAAGAGGAAACATTCACCAAACTCTGCAAAGCTGAAGTCTGACACTACCAGAATTGTTTTAAGTCACCCAGCAGTTTGTCAATACGGCCTGATGACACTGGCTTTCTCTTTTACTTCCCATATTTCAAAAGAAATGCCCTCTCTGCATAAATCCTAAGTCTTATAAATTCTACAAGTGTCTTAATGAAACATTTGTGTTTCACCATGCCCTTCATCATTCATCACTCATTCATTTATAGCCATTTTAAAAAATTTTAAAATGTCAAGCAGAACAAGTACGATATGCTAGGAAATGGAACATGTTGCCTTCTGAATTCTTAGAAGGGAAGGGTGAAACACTGTACTAATAAAGTACTTAAACTGGGTTTGCTTCCACTAATAAGAGCATTTATTAGGGTAATAAATATAACATGTTCATATAATTATATAGTATTACAATAATTTATTATTAGCTCCCTATTCAAGAAGGCTTTAAGAAAAAGCACTGACTATGCTTTAAAGAGTGATAAAATGCTGGTAGCATAGCAGCACATGAAAGTGCTCTACCACTAGAGCTTGGCAACAGAGAACAGCAGCTTAACAGGTCTTCCATGAGAAAAACTGACATTTCATCAGTATAAAAGATTTGAGGCAATAAAGATTGTTTTTTTAATTTTAAAAGCCACACATAATTATCAGAAGCACATGATACAAACATTTCCCACGTAATTTACTCACCTCACTGGATTAAAGAATTTTAATTTTCCCATTTCAAGGCAAACTAATAATTTCCCTATTCTTCAGTGGAAATGAATATTTTAATAAGAAAATAATAAAAGATAAATCACATTTCTATGTTTTTCATCATTCAATTACACATCATAACATGATGCACTGCTCCTTGAAGCTGTCACTTGGATACAAACCTGCAACGCACCCAAAATTATGCTCCCAACAGAAAAAACACCTAAAAACAAGTTTCTCCTTTTCTTCCCTTTTTCTGAACGCATCTCACAAACCAACTATCTGAACCCATGTTTTCACTACTTTGTAATCCCAATAAATTTTCAGTGTAGTATTGCTAAATCTTTCCATTGTGTAATGCATTCCTAGTAATTTGAATATTCCTTACACCCTTCTTTCCCACTTAAGTCAGTTTTCTGGAGCAGATTTTGTACAAATTCCAGTTTGAATCCATGATGTGACAGAGGTTTTTTATAGACATTTACAGCTGGACAACTACAGTCCCAGTCAAATCTTCAATTTCTGACAATCTCAACTCTTTTGGACTCAACTCTTTTGGCAAACAGCTTTGTA